AAATTTACCTGCACCTGTGGACATCGGATTGTAAAAAGGATATAGTTACTATATTTTTCAACGTGCACTTTCACCTACAACAATCCCTAATTTATTTTTTGATAAGTGGAAGTATGACAAACGAAATCATCACAAGGTGCGCTTTATTCTAAGGGATCCAGGTTAGTGAGAGGATCTCGTGCAATGGGCGAACGTATCCTTCTACTGAAAGTGCTATGGATAGATATTGTACTTCGGAAAAGTCCAATAAAGAACATCTAGAGGGAGGAAGTGGAACTAAATACTTGAGCTTGAATAAAATAAGAATTTCGTATTTGTTTTCATGTTTCATTTTATATTCACATCACTCTCAACACTTAAATTAATAATAATGGCTGTACAGTTCTTGATACACATCAATTAATAATGGTACAAATGAGGTTTGTATGATCCATCATCATACAAAGATTCACTGTGGTCATGGACGTATTGGCCTTCGTGTCCATGAATTCCGTAAGCTACTGGAGCAACATGAGCGTAATGGGCAGAATGTGCTACGACTGGAGCAGCATGAGCTACAACTGGAACGTGGGCGGAATGTCCGGTGGAAATAGTTCCGGATGGTCCAGCTACAACAACGTTGTCGTGGCCGTAAGCTGAAGAATGAGCCACAACTGTTGATTGAGCTACATGTGGAACAGCATGAGCTACAACTGGGGCAGCGTGAGCTACAACATGGGAGTGTACTGGAGCGGCATGAGCTACGTATCCTGGATGCTCTTCATGTACGATCTGACCTCCTGGGGCTACAGCGGAGATGACGCTTCCTTCAGGTCCAACCAAGGTGGTTCGGCTGCTGGGTCCTTGAAGAACGTGGGCAGAGGGTCCGTGTAACCAACCGGCATTGGCGGCAGCCAAGCAGGCGACGAAAGTAATGACAGCCTGAAATTAAATACAAAATAAGAAAAAATCTAACAAAAATATAAGAAACAATTACTTACAAATGAATTCATAGCTCTTGTTTTTGATACTGTTGTAAATCAACTGATAATTTTAGTAAACGTGATTCGGCAATTTATACCCATAGACCCATAACCTTGCCCCTTCGATGGTTGGTAATAGATATTCAATTCCGTGCTTTTTGCGAGAATCAATCTTCAATTTGTCATTTTTCCGCCACACAATTTTAATGAGGGCGCGGTATTAGCTTATGTAAATGGAAGGACAAATTCGAATATAACCTGGTAAAAAATATCATATTTTTTTCTTCTAGTTAGTTAATTGTTAATGAGCCAATCCAGTACACATTGATTTTTGACTTGCCGGAAAGTGACATGATAAAGTAAACGTTTTTTTGAATGTTTCACTAAGTATGCGTAGAATTTTTCCTGTTAGGTGCTTTGATAAAAATTTCAAGGATGCGTATCGTACAAAATTTTATTTTTCACGTAGGTAACTCTTCTAATTTTCCCAAAATTTTTTCCTGGGACTCTAGTATAAAATTCTCTCAATGAACAAAACATGAAAATCAATATAAATTAATATCTATATTGAAGTGTTAAGGTATATTTTTACATGGCGTCACGGCCACCAAAATGATTATTCATGATCAAAAATCATACACAATCTAATTTTCTGACTTTCTTAGAATTTAAAAAATCTTGGACATATATTTTGCTTCAGCTCATCTTATGTTCTGGTATCTTCTCTATTTTCCACTCATACTTACCGTATTGCTGACCACAGACTAGCATACAAGAGCGTCATACATGTTTATCGTCCATGTATGACGAGCGCTTTTCACCCTAGATCTACACACTAGCTTGTCACACAAGTAGTATGAAAGTACACGATGAATCAAAATATAGGTACGCATTCAAATCTTTTAAAAGAATTACGAATGAATCCAGACGATTGACGAAATTACCTGAGGATTGATGAAGATAGCTCCGTAATGCTATTAACGTTAGTGTCTCCAGTAATAGAAAAACAGAATACAATTTTAAGGGCTGCCATATCACCATACGAGCGATTAACAGCCACACTTCGCTATTTAGCTACTGGAAGCATATGATAATTGAAGGGAAAAAATAAATTTAGATACACAAATAACATTACTAATAACTAAAGACTAGGTATTTGTATAATTTATAAAATATTCATCATTCATGTGACCTTAACAAATAATTTCAAAAAATAAAAATACACTGCGGGTGATATCACGAACCACTGCACTAACAATAGTTGTATTCCTTTCACACCTAGGAGGAGCTCCGGAACAGCTCCGGGGATTTACGCGCTTATTCCTTTCGAAAAGTATTTGTTGCACCTGAGTACTCAAACCCGACTCAAACCATTTAAATGCATGAAAGCCAGCGCATCTCTTCCTTTCAAATCGGGTCGACTAACACCGGAGCGAGTAGCTCTAGTGTTTCAAACTCTTGAAAGGAATACAACTCATGTGTGCAAATGAAGTGTGAACATGGGCCACACTCCGACACTCTTGTTTGCAAGTACATGCTCATGCGTGCATGAATGGACCTTTCTCATGCAATGAACAACAAGGATAGTTTATTAAGATTTCTGCAATAAAGAAAAAGACGCATATAATGACGCACGATACCTGTGTGGAATGACTTTGATTGGTTCCACTTGTCAAATTGTGCAATTTCGGTTATGTTTCTGTTTTTGTTTATTTTTAAACGTAAATATGACAAAATACGTATTTTTCAATTTAAAACCTTCTCTCTCTGGCATCAGACGTCAGAAAATTCAAAAATATGAAAACAATAGTTGACAGCTGTTGACAGTGGTTTTTTGACAAAATTTTTATATACGCTTGAAAACGATTTTGTACTCGGTTTTTTGTTTTCTTTTCCTCAACAATGGTGATTGTGTGTTGTGTGCCGTCTTGTAGAAATAATTCCTATTCACCGGCGGATGTGTCTTTTCATAAGTTCCCATCAGATCCTACATTTTCCATGGTCGAGAACTTTTGAACTGCCAATGACCTGAGGGACTTTTTTACTATATGATTAAAGTAGGTATTGAATTTCATGTCAGTCAGAGTCAGAGTACTGCAAGATCCTTAACTTCATTAGTACGACCAATTTTTTCTTTACCTACATAATAGTCAATAATATCAATCTTTCTAGTAAAAGTAACTGCTGTACAATTTTTTTTATTCAGCAACATTTGATTCGATTGAAATCACCCAACTACTTCCCCCAAGTCAAGCTTCAGCTGCTGGTGATCTTCTGGAATGTGAATAATAAGCTTGAAGAGTTTTTATTTAATGTAGATACTATTTGTAGAAAGGAGAACAGAAAGTTTGGAAATAAATAATGGCACTTTAATTGATGAACGTTACCAATCCCTGTCTAATATTGGGGACATGGATAACACAGTTGCCATTAAGAAGGTCCTTGTAAATGAAGCAGTGAAGCCTGAAGTGCGTGAAGAGCAGTTGAAGAAGTCTGATGCAAATACCGTTTGGCGAGAATGCTGTGGGTTAAACACGTTATACACTACGTTACTTATCAACCATAACGATTTCCTTGAAAAATTTAAATGTAAAGATCAACCTTTCCAACACGTTAAGGCTACAAATGTATCATTTACTGTATTTGATAAAGGTTTATTCAGGAACAGGCAGGAAAACATATATAAGAATGTGGCATATGCTGCCGCTAAATTTTCTATTGATATGTTTAAACATAATGATAATGATATTTCCTATTTTACTGGTTTTCTCAGTTATGACAATTTCAAAATATCCCTAAATATATAAAAAGACCTTTCGACAACGACTCCCATAAGGAGCACTTAATTTCCAAGACTCCATTTTCCTGTCTAACTTCCATATTATCGACTAAGTGGCCATCCGCCGAAGCGCCCAAGAAATTAGCTGCTGGATGGACCACCAAACCTGATGGAAACACCCTAACGCTTGGCTCAGCTTTCTGGTAAATTTCGCGAGCTACGCTTTCGTTTGTTTCACCATGTTTTATGCCGGGTACATGATCAATGTTCTTTGGCTTGAAAATTTGCGATAAAAACCTGTCATCAGGGGTCTTCCTCCGTTTTAATAGTTCCCAAAAATTAGATGCAGTGGAACGTTTCTGTCTTTCTTTCCTCCAAAGTTGTGAACTGGCTTGATTTCTTGTAGCTTCTTCCAACCGCCAACATTCTTCTATCCTCAAACTAAGGTGGTTGAGCTCTGGCCTCATCGGTAGTATCGAAAAAAAAAAAATCTGTCGTCTCTCCGGTAGTATCGAAAAAAAATATTTTCTGTCGTCTCTCTGTATTGGAATTTTCAAAAAACTACTTCTATCCTTTTCGTGAGAAGGAACTATCTCTTGTACCTCTTGTACTAGAGAATTTGTGTAGTTAATTTGGTATTCTAATAAACCGTCAGATAGTGACATATTTAGGTGCCCCATTTTCGCATACAAGCCTCGAAGAGGGTTGAAAAGTACATCGATTTTGAGTAGGATGAAGGTATTTTCACGGCTGGCTTCTGGGTATAACGTATGGAAAATTCGATTTTCCATAACAGAAATGAAAGTCGTTCCTGTGCCCATATTTTCTCGCAAGCTGTGTTCACCAAAGGATTTAATAATAAATCCTGGCTTCGTGAAAACAAAGAAGGAGGTGTTGCAGGTGGCTGAAGGTTTGAAATAAGGGCGTAATCCTATAGGGAAAAAATCGAGATTTTGGGCGATTTTTCCACATAAGTCCATCGGAAGGATGAAAATCTACAAAGTTGGTAGCAAGAAAACATATTGGCTTGGGAAGTGTCGCGAATGGAAAAGTACATTTTAGGGTAACATAAGTAAAATCGAATTTTCCATATATGTTATCCCCAGGAGCCACGCGTGAAAATACCTTCATCCTACTCAAAATCGATGTACTTTTCAACCCTCTTCGAGGCTTGTATGCGAATTGACTTCGGCGCTTAAACCCAGTGGCAAATCCACAACCGCTTCACAAGAGGTGGAAAAAAGGTAGGAAGCAGCTATTTATGGATTTATTTCTTTCAATTCTGCAGCATTTTTCTCAATAACCCCATCGTTAATGATACTATTATTTAAATCGGCCATTTTTTGCAATTTACAGTAAAGTGGTGCTCTCTTCTTGGGTGTCTCGCTTGGTTTTCGAATTGAAACATCCATCACGCATTCAAATGCTACAGACTTGCCTCTTGGTTTATCCCATTTTTGTAGAATCTCCGTACATGTCAATTCGTCTGGCACCTCTTGATATTTACGAAGAATAAAGTGTTCCAGCGTGAAACACAGACCAACCAAGTGACCACATGCCTGTGTCAACCTTTAACATAAAAATCACTTATTTATTTATAATTTAAATCGCTGTTCAATAGTCTAACCACAGTATAGACATGCTGTGATCTAACTGCAAACTCACCCTATCAAACAACTGCAACTAGCTTCTTTGATCATTAAATTTGTCAAAAGTAATCTCAATTTATGTGGGGGGCTGTTTTTACGCTGACTTCTATAACATTTGGCAGAAACCATAGTCTCATCTAAAATAAAGAACTTCAAAATGTCGAACTCTTAGATTGAAAAGGAATATTTCCATGAATAAATTGCATAAAATTAAAAAAACAACACCTACCGATTGAAATGTTGTAAGCTGTAAAAATGTCACTTATATAGCCGTCACAGAAATACTTATAGTCACGTTCAAATTTGGTTTGCGGAAGCTGTTTACTTTTAAAATAATCCTTCGCTCTCTCCATAGAGAAGTCCTGCAAATGAAGCAAAGACTTTCCCCACATTTTTTTTTCAATTTCAAATTTTCAAACGCCTATTGACATTGACAAGCCAGCAAATTTTGGCGGGAAAATGGATGTTTTCATACTTTATTGTCCATCTCTTTTAATTGAAAACGTCAATTCCGGTCAGATGAGAAAACTTGTGTGACATACATGCTTCCAGATTTTTGCCCATACACAGGCAAACATGAACGCGCAAGCGTTTACGACAAACATATATGACGCACATGTATACTGTGGCCAGCTTTATAGCTTACATATTTTTCTATTATCCTTGGATATGGTGACCGGAATAGTTATTTATGTATCAAGGGTACTAAGTAGATGATTATGCCCTGAGGGCGACAGTCTTACAAAGCCGAGGGCCTCTGGCCCGAGGGTTCGTAAGTCGCCCGAGGGTATATATATATCTATTAGTACCCGTGGTGCATACAAACTTTTATGTCATACCAGTTGGTTGTGAATAATAAATATCTGGGAAAAAAGTGTCACTTCGCAAATTGTCATCAGTGTGCAAACATCATCATTTTTTGACAAAAATAATATGTTTATAAGCGTAAATTTATATTTTGTTAATAAAGAATAAGTTAATTGAACATTTTTTTTGCGTCTTTATGCCCGCGCGGGCCATAATGTGTACTTTATGCCCGCGCGGGCCATAATGTGTACTTTATGCCCGCACGGGCATAAAATAATGAATTATGTAGATGGTATCTAAGGTATAAAAACACAATAATGTATTGGTATGACATAAAATAATAAATGTTGCGAACGAATTTATTAAAAATTCTCATAAAAGTCAAAATAGAAATAGACAGCTAATTTTGAAATTATCAGTATTATCATTTATTTTTATTGAATCGGCTGTTACATTATCATTTATCACTACTGGTCTCACTAATTATATGTTCCCTTTATAGACTTTGAGATAGGGACTGTTTAGTGGAGTAATTTTTTTTTGTCTGGCATTTTGAGGTCTGAATGTGGCTAGCTAGCTGATAAGAATATGGGTGATTTTAATGCCTGCCACCCGTTCGAAAATTTGGAGAAGAAAAAAATGTATTTACATGAAGAATTTTTTATCAATGATCTCAAATTTTTTGGCTTTTAAATAAAAGATTGACATTGATAAATAATTCACTCATGAAAAATACCAGATGCTCTTCAATAGCTGAAAAAGTGGGGATGGGTGTCAACTTTCAAGAGAGAAGAAAAGAACCTTCCGCGTTTACTTTTTATCTGGCAATCGAGCGAATAGAAGGTTTTGTTGTGAAAATAACGCTGGAAAATCGCCAGACGGTAATCACAGTTCGAAATCGAGTTTTCCGGCAAAACATTCTGTGGACATTTCGAATAGAGGGCTGGCTTTAAAACCACTCATATTCTCAACAACTAACTAGCCACATTCAGCCCTCAAATTGCCAGACAAAAAAAATGATTCCACTAAACAGGCCCTATCTCAGGGTCTATTATGCAAATTTCTTGAATGAACATAATATCGAATTTTGCTTTCAGAATACTGTACATCTGACCAGAGTCTTTTTTTTTTCTTCTGTATTGATATACAGCAAGCTTTTTTTTATCTAACATTTTCGGTTTTCTTCAAGAAGTACCTACGCTTTTCTCAGTGAGCTTTCATACTCTGTGATGGTGGACTTCCTCAGTCCCTACCTCGAGATATAATTTCTTGAGATACCTAGTTATCACAAAATTTAAAAAGTCTAGGCTCTCATTATTATTTATGCCCAATTTGTTTATAGGTATAATAGCATGTTTTTAAACAGAATTTTTTACCTATTTATTATTTTTGACAAAGCACCAGTCGCTTGCTGCAATAGTATAAACCAATAGAAATTTAATTTCTTTTTCGAATTTCATGCCTATCGACGAATTGCCTGTCGTGACAAGTGAAAATAAATAGAAAATTTTAAAATGAGCAGCTAAATTCAGATGTCCCAATATTTTTCAGTCGCCATCGTACAAAGAAGATTGAAAGGATATAAAAGTGGATATCTATAAAACAAATTTTGTTTTAACTTATGTTTTATGAATTTATTTATATTTTTATTTCTACATCCTACTCATCAGTCCAATCTAACTCTATACACGTATATTGACACACACACACCCTTAATGATGGTACAAATGAGGTTTGTACGATCCATCATCGTACAAAGATTCACTGTGGTCATGTACGTATTGGCCTTCGTGTCCATGAGCTCCGTAAGCTACTGGAGCAACATGAGCGTAATGGGCAGAATGTGCTACGACTGGAGCAGCATGAGCTACAACTGGAACGTGAGCGGAATGTCCGGTGGAAATAGTTCCGGATGGTCCAGCTACAACAACGTTGTCGTGGCCATAAGCGGAAGAATGAGCAACAACTGTTGAATGGGCTACATGTGGAACAGCATGAGCTACAACGGGAGCAGCGTGAGCTACAATATGGGAATGTACTGGGGCGGCATGAGCTACGTATCCTGGATGCTCTTCATGTACGATCTGACCTCCTGGGGCTACAGCGGAGATGACGCTTCCTTCAGGTCCAACCAAGGTGGTTCGGCTGCTAGGTCCTTGAAGAACGTGGGCGGAGGGTCCGTGTAACCAACCGGCATTGGCGGCAGCCAAGCAGGCGACGAATGTAATGACAGCCTGAAAATAAATACAAAATAAGAAAAAATCTAACAAAAATATAAAAAACAATTACTTACAAATGAGTTCATAGCTCTTGTTTTTGATACTGTTGTAAATCAACTGATAATTTTAGTAACCGTAATTCGGCAATTTATACCCATAGACCCATAACCTTGCCCCTTCGATGGTAGGTAATAGATATTCAATTCCGTGCTTTTTACAAGAATCAATCTTCAATTTGTCATTTTTCCGCCACACAATTTTAATGAGGGTGCGGTATTAGCTTACGCAAATGAAAGGACACATTCGAATAAGACCTGGTTAAAAATAACGTATATGTTTTTCTTCTTGTTATTTAATTGGTAATGAGCCAATCAACGTAGGTACACTTTGGTTTTTGACTTGCCGGAAAGTGACTTATTAAAGTTTTTTAAATGTTTCACGCTGTTAGGTGCTTTGATAATAATTACAAGGATGTGCATCGTTCACATAACTCTTATACCAAATATTTTTCTGGGACTCTATTAAATATAAAATTCTCTGTATTCAACACTTTTGCAGCTATAGAGTGGTTCTCTTTTGTTTGAGTAGTAAAAACATGAAAATAATCAATATGATTTTTTTTTCATAATAATTGAACAAAACAAGATAACAGATTTAATTAAAAATATGAATCAATACCAATACCTACATTGAAGTGTTTAGGTATACATTTACACAGGGCATCAAAATGATTACCGATTCATGATCCAAACTCACACGCAATTTACTTTTCTGACAAATTTCTTAAGAAAATTGATAAAATATCAAGCTATATTTTGCTTTGGCTCCTCTGATGCATGTTATTATTCGAAAATACATAATGCCAACAAAATAGGCGCGTCGAGTGTTATTTTTTCTGTTTCACAAGTCCACCCAAGAATTCACAAATATCAATAAAACAATATCCATTCAAATTAGAGAAATAAGAATGCAGAGGAGAGTAATGGAACATAGCAAGAGTCTGAAGGCTTTGATACCAATAATAAAAAGATATACTGGGTGTAAAAAAAAGTGTACCGGACTTCGAGAGGTAATACTATATATGAAAACTAAAAAAAAGTTCCTATGAACATATGCCCTAAAATACTTTTTCGTTTTGTTAGTAACTACCCTCTACCCTTATGGAATCTACCCTTTCAGAACTGTTACGGCTTTTTTTTACTATCACCATTCATATCACATTACTATCACCAATTTCATATTATGTAGTATCACCCCTCGAAGTCTGGTACACTATTTTTTTTACACCCTGTATAAACAATCATTAGAAATAAACAAGAAATTATGACCACTATCGAAAGATTTTGGAAAAAATTGTATTCAGTGAAGAATGAAAAGACCAACACTGACATCCCCAGAGTCTTGAAGAAGAATCCGGAGAAATATTTGAAATAATGAAACAAAATTAGTTGCATAATTCGATGGCTTTCAATCCACTGCTCGACAAGACTCCTGGGGAAGAAGAGGATAATAGTAAGTATTAAGATAAGTGAGCAATACATCAGTAGATCTCTGAAAATTCTATTCAATAAATGTTGTTATAAGGAACAATTTCAAAACAAGAAAGGCGATAAAGCGAACACAAAAAAAAAATACCAGAGAGAGGACACTAATGCAAGGAAATGGAGAGGACTAATGCAAGGAAATAGAGAGGTCTAATGCAAGGAGATGAAGAAGTCTAATGCAAGGAGATGCGCTCTGACCTAAATTATTCGTCACACTGCTACAAAGCTTGCCAAATGGTCTGAACTAGAAGCAGATGGGGTGCACATCGATAGAGAATACTTGAATTTTTTGCTTCGCCGATGATATAGTTCTAGTCTAATGGCAGACAACTTTCAAGAAATCCAGCTTACGTTTGGAAAACTCAATTATGAGGCGAAGAAGTTTGAATTGGAAAGAAACCTGAAAATAACTCACTGGGAATTCTGTGCCTAAAGTGGATCTGGGCGAGATATGTCGTCAGTCAGGATAGAGGATGAGAAAAGGATCATAGAGTGATATCCTTGATCAGAAGCATCCAGAAATCGAGGAAGTGAAGCTCGGAGTACATGAACCTGTAACAGATAGAGGTCGTTTATTCCCCTCGCTATGGCACTTGGGCGGGGACTCTGTAACGAATAGAGATATTTTCTTCATCTCTTTTGATGTCTCCTCTCTATTGATTTCGACAAGAGAGAAGAAGATAGCAAATGCTATAGCGATAGGGATAAGGATCTCTATCCGTTACAGAGTTCCAGCCCAGGGCTTACTTACTCAAAATCAATAGATAGGCGACGCCAATAGAGAGAGATATTGATCGCTATTCGTTACACAGTCCCAACCCGCTGGTCGCCTATGATAGAAGAAAACGGCAAAGTTTGAGAGTGGCGATTTGTTTATTCTATGAAGCCGTTGTATCTGCTATCTTCTCTATTTTCCACTCATACTTACCCTTAAACGGGCCACAGACTAGCATACAAGAGCGTCAAACATATTCGTCATACATGTGTATCGTCCATGCGTATGACGAGCGCTTTTCACCCACAGATCTACACACTAGCTTGTCACACAAGTAGTATGAAATTACACGATGAACAGTGACGACGAATTTAATCTACCGGCAGCGGCGTACACTGTTTTATTTTTATTTATTTTTAAAGTTCAAAAGCCAAAAATTCGGACAAAATGGGTCAAAGATCAGCTTTCAAAACGCTCAAAATGTAAGCATTCAAATCTTTCAGAAGAATTACGATTGGAACCAGACGATTGGCGAAATTACCTGAGGATAATTGAAAATAGCTACGTAATGCTATTAACGTTAGTGTCTCCAATAACAGAAAAACAGAATACAATTTTAAGAGCGGCCATATCACCACACGAGTGATTAACAACCAGACTTCGCTATTTAGCTACTGGAAGCATGTGATAATTGAAGGAAAAAAATAAATTCAGATACACAAATAACATTACTAAAGACTATTTATATAATTTAGAAAATAACAATAACTGAATAGGAACAATATTCATGATTCATGTGATAAATAATTTCAAAAAATAATAATACACTGCGGGTGAGATCACGAGCCACTGTACTAACAATGTGTGCAAATGAAGAGTGAACATGGGTCCGACACACTTGAATGCAAGTACATGCTTGCGCGTGCATGAATTCCGTCAGATCAGAAAACTTGTGTGACATACATGCTTGCAGATTTTTGCCCATACGCAGGCAAACATGAACGCGCAAGCGTTTACGACAAACATATATGACGCACATATGCTAGTCTCTGGCCAGCTATATAAGCTTATATATTTTTCTATTATCCTTGGTTATGGTGACTGGAAAATAATAATGTTGCGAACGAATTCATTAAAAATTCTCATAAAAGTCAAAATAGAAATAGACAGCTAATTTTGAAATCATCAGTAATATTATTATCTCTACTGGTCTCACCGTTATACAGGGTGATTCAAAAGTAAGCGGCATCCTTTCGGGGGCGTATTCCTTGCATAAAAATGAGACTAAAAGTTCCTATTAACATGGGTCCGGAAATGCTTCCTGCCCCTTCGAATAGGACATCTAAAAGACGTATTTTTCTCTATAACTTTGAAACCCTTTACAATTGGATTTTGAAAATCGGTATATATAAACATTTGATGGCATTTGATGGCAATTAAGATACTAAATTGAAAATTCAAAAATCTTAATCAGTGGCGTCACATACTGGGAAGGGTGAGGGTTAAAACATCCCTATTTTTTTTACTCGTCAGGTTTTTGCGATTCTGATTAAAAATTCAGAAAGTTTACAGCTTTTTACACAGAAAAGGTACTCTTGGTTCAATTTGATACAGCGTACCGTTTACGAGAAAATTGACTTTGGAAATTTTCTGATTTGCGTATGTTTCTCAAAAACCTGACGAGTAAAAAAAATAGGGATGTTTTCAACCTCTCCAGTATGTGACACTGATTAAGATTTTTGAATTTTCAATTTAGTATCTTAATTGCCATCAAATGTTTATAAAATACACCAATTTTCAAAATCCATTTGTGAAGGGTTTCAAAGTTATACAGAAAAACACGGTCTTTCAGGTGTCCTATACGAAGGGGCGTAGCTCCCTTAGGAAGCATTTCCGGACCCATGTTAATAGGAACTTTTTGTCTTATTTTTATGCAAAAAATACGCCCCCGAAAGGATGCCGCTTACTTTTGAATCAACTTGTATGTTCCCTTTATGCAAATTTTCGAATGAAAGTTATATCGAATTTTGTTTTTAGAATACTGTACATTTGACCAGAGTCTTTTTTTGTATTGATATAGCTGAAAAATGCCAGCAAGCGTTTTTCTATCTAACATTTTCGGTTTTCTTCAAGAAGTACCTATGCTTTTCTCAGTTTCTACAGCTTTCATATTCTGTGATGGTGGACTTCTTCAGTCCCTACCTCGAGATATAATTTCTTGACATAGTTATCCATCACAAAATTTAAAAAGTCTAGGCTCTCATTATTATTTATGCCAAATTTGTTTATACAATAGCATGTTTCTAAACAGAATTGGTTACCTATTTATTATTTTTGACAAAGCACCAGTCGCTTGCTGCAATAGTATAAATCAATAAAAATTTCATTTTTCTCCAAACGTCAAAAAAACGTCACTTTGTTAACCCCTGTCAAGATATCAGAAATTTAATTTCTATGTTGCTAGGCAAATCCAGCGGTTTAACACCTGTCGAGGTGGTAGAAATTTAATTTCTATGCTGCTTGGCAACCCCAGCGGCAGCAAAAGTACTTTTAGTGCCGCTCGTACTTTTACTGCCGCTCAACCATTCACTTGCCCCCGAACTCAACCCATTTATTTGGAGAAAAAATAGCATGTTGCATACGGAGTAGAAGCACTTTTTTGTGCTTTAGCAGTATTGCAAGCCTCACTACGTTCGGCTTGCAAACCACTGCTTCAGCACAAAAAAGTAAAGCTTCTACTCCTAATACAACAATATACTATTCTATTCCAAATTCCATGCCTATCGACAAATTGCCTGCCGTGGCAAGTGACAATAAATAGAAAAATTTAAAATGAGCAGCTAAATTCAGATGTCTGAATACTTTTAAGTTGCCATCGTACAAAGAAGATTGAAAGGATATAAAAGTAGATATCTATGAAACAAATACTTTTTCAACTTAGGTTTTATTAATTTATTTATATTTTTATTTCTACATCCCACTCATCAGTCCAATCTAACTCTAAACATTTATACACGTATATTGACACACACATTAATGATGGTACAAATGAGGTTTGTACGATCCATCATCGTACAAAGATTCACTGTGGTCATGTACGTATTGGCCTTCGTGTCCATGAACTCCGTAAGCTACTGGAGCAACATGAGCGTAATGGGCAGAATGTGCTACGACTGGAGCAGCATGAGCTACAACTGGAAAGTGAGCGGAATGTCCAGTGGAAATAGTTCCAGATGGTCCGGCTACAACAACGTTATCGTGGCCGTAAGCTGAAGAATGAGCCACAACTGTTGAATGAGCTACATGTGGAACAGCATGAGCTACAACTGGGGCAGCGTGAGCTACAATGTGAGAGTGTACTGGACTGGCATGAGCTACGTATCCTGGATGCTCTTCATGTACGATCTGACCTCCTGGGGCTACAGCGGAGATGACGCTTCCTTCAGGTCCGACTAAGGTGGTTTTGCTGCTGGGTCCTTGGAGAACGTGGGCGGAAGGTCCATGATGGAACCAACCAGCGTTAGCGATAGCCAAGCAGGCGACGAAAGTAATGACAGCCTGAGAGAAAAATAAATTTAATTTTTTTCAAACTTATCATATGACATATATTTCAAAAAATCTAAATACTTACAAAGGAATTCATAGTTCTTGTTTTTGTAGTCGTTGTGGATCAACTAATAATTTAAGCAACCACAATTCGGCAATTTATACTCATGGAACCATGACCTTGCCCCTTCGGTGGTAATATTAAGTTCCGTGTTATACTTACTTCCAATATTTGCTTGTAATTGTCTTTCAATAAGTAGGTATTTTGATATGGGTGTGGCGTAGCACCAAATAACCTCAAAGTATGTCTTTATTCGAAAATACCACCTAAATCAATATATTATGATATATCCCAAGAAATAAACTAAGTATATTAAAAATGACAAAATTATATTGATATCAAATGAATATAGGTATCCTCTGATATTCGCAGTGTTCGATTAACATTTCAAGTACCTATTTCTGAATAAATTTTCTCTAATTTCAATTAAATTTCATCATTAATTTGGATTTAACAAACAACACGAAATTTCACTGGAAACCACAGAAACGAAAAATTGCCTTTGTTAATATTAACAAACTCAAATATATTTTTGAATTCAGAAATTTAATTAAATTATTTGGTTACATTATTGTAAAATTAAAGCTAAAAATTATTTATTTAATTTTATGTATGAGCATAGGTTTTATTTCAATCTTTGTAATCTGAAATTAGGTTAAATCATTTGTTACAAAATGTGAACGTTGATAGAAGCCTGTTTGATCCTGTTAATTGATATAATTACGAAAAACTAATTTGACTCGTTATACACGTTACACAAATATAAAACAAACGTTTTATATAGATTCATGTTCCAGTTAATTTTTGAATTAGAAATAAATAGCTATAACGACTCTCTTCACTATATTTATTTATTTAATTAATATTATATCTATATCGGTATAAAAAAAAGTATATTATGAACTCTAACCCTGTAGACCAACCATACCCCCAGCAATAGATTGAGCACCATCCTGACCAGACTGTGCCACATAATTTCCTGTAGCTAATGTTCCTGCAGCCGACCCAGCTACAGCATTACGAGCTTCTTCTCCAGGGACAAACATAGGGACGGCCGGGCCTAGAAAAAATTCATCTAAAAAATAATTTATGTAATTTTCGAAGAAAAAGCTCACCTACCTAGAATTCTTCCTGCAGGTTCAAAAACTCCAGGAGTTTCTTGATGAACTATTTGTCCTCCGGGATTTTCGGCCACGATCACGCTACCATCCGGACCCATTATTTTGGTTTGTGTACCGGGTCCCTGTATGTTAGTTGTAGTGCTACCATCTGGTAAAACCGTGGGTAGAACTGAAGCCTGAGTTGTGGTCAGATACAGTAGAGTTAGAGCGATCAACTAAAAAAAAGGTTATTTGTTATTTTTAATAAAAGAGTCGACGATGTTAGGTAGTACCTATGTAGGGTAACACTTGATACAAGTGCCGATATAAGTGTAATTTCTCGGAAAGTTTTCAAAAAAGTCGATAGGCAATTTGAAGATAGGAATTCTGAGTATGTTATTAAAGGACTTGAAGGCACACAAGCCGAAACAATTGGCATTGTAAATTTAAACGTGAAGTATAAGAATAGGAATACATAATAATATGAGGATTTTGTAATTGTTGAGGGTGCAAACCGTGTTCTTTTAGGTGGTAGAGCTTGTGTTGATTTAGGATTGTTAAAAAGGGTTAATAAGGTTGACCTAATTGTTTTTCCTCCCTCCACCAACGATAAAGAAAAATTTATTTCAGAAATTTTGAAATCACTTCTATTGATTAATTTGAAACAGTGAGCCACCCACCCACAGAAGTACCTATAGCTATAAAAGATTCTTTGAAACATGAGCTTAATAGATTAGTAGACCGTAAAGTAATTTTAAAAGTTAAAATCGAACTGCAAAAAATTAAAATTCTTTGCGAACCCAAAGGTTCGTTTAATTATATGAGACGACATATTCCGAATATGGCAGAATTCATACAACTATTATATGAATTGTTAAAATCAAATGTAGAATGGCAATAGTTGCCAGAACAGGACAAATGTTTCAAAAAACTTAAAACAATTATCAGTAAATCCCTGGAATTAGTTCCTTTTATCCCCAAATTAGAAATTTTCTTGCAATGCGATACATCAAAAAACGTTTTAGATTAATGCATGTTTCAAGAACATGAAGGTCATATTCTTAAACTAGTAGCTTGTGCATCTCGTAATATGAATGATTTTGAATTAAATTACAGTCAAACCGAAAAGGAATTATTAGCTATTCATTTTGAAACGCAAAAGTTTCATAGTTTTACATGATTTTGAATAAATGTACAATCTGATCATAGGCTAACAATCTCTAATCTCTATCATGAAAAACCCTATTAACAAAATTGGATCAGTAAGACTTCAAAGACTTAGGTTGAAACTTTTAAAATATTCCCCCAATGTATATTATGTTATGTTCCAGGAACAGATATTCATTTTGTAGAGCAGGCGCTACAAGTAGTTGAGTATGCAAAATGTGAGGACCGGCAAAAATGCTCAAATTCGTATTCCTGTGATCCTAAAGAATGGGAAAGTACATCTTGCCGGCAGCTGGAGTGTTCCCTAACTCTTCTGCAATCCCCCAATGCAAAGTTATATGGAAAATATCACAATTTCAAGTCATTTCACAATAATTCCTATTGATTGTACCTAAGGCTTTCTTTTCAAGCACTCAAAATAAATTACCTACCACTTGTTAGATACCTTTGCAATTCTGCTCCAAAATATACACAAGTAAAAGAAGACTGCGAGATGTGCAGGGTCATCCAACGACGACTGAACAGGGGCTTATTTTTGACCTTTCCCGTTCTTGTAGTTTTGAAAAAATTCAAAATAGCCAATTGGCAATTTTTTTCTGGAGAATTCAAAAATGGTACCAAAAAATCATTTGAACTAAAAACCTAAGAGTTATGCCATGGATAAACTGTTTTTCAAATGGAACACCCTGTTTATTATATAATTTCTGGGAAATTCAAAAAGGAAAAGCTAAAATTATTGAGCATAAAACATTAAAATAAAATAAGAACAACGAAATATCGAATATTTTCAACAGAATAGACGTAAAAAATGCGACTTTTCCAAAAATCATACAAAAACAGGGTGTTTTATTTGAAAAACAGTTCATCCATGGCGTAACTCTCAGGTTTTTAGTTCAAATAATTTTTTGGTACCATTTTTGAATTCTCAAGAAAAAAATTTGCCAATTGGCTATTTTGAATTTTTTCAAAACTACTGGAACGGGGAAGGTCAAAAATAAGCCCCTGTTCAGTCGTCGTTGGATGACCCTGTACATCTCGCAGTCTTCTTTTTACTTGTATATTTTTTGGCGTAGAATTGCAAAGATATCCAACAAGTGGTAGGTAATTTATTTTGAATGCTTGAAAAGAAAGCCTTGCGTACAATCGATAGGAATTATTGTGAAAGGACTTGAAATTGTGATATTTTCCATATAACTTTGCATTGGAGGATGGCAGGAGAGTTAGGGACCACTCCAGCTGCCGGCAAGATGTACTTTCTCATTCTTTAGGATCACAGGAATACGAATTTGAGCATTTTTGCCGGTCTTCACATTTTGCATACTCATATCCGTCTAACTCCCGATCAAAACAAACTAGTTATGACCCTGAAATGTTAGAAATGGTACATCTATTAACTAAATATTTACCAATGAGTGATGAGAAGAAAACTGAATTTAGAGAACAAACCAGTAAAGATGAAACCCTTTTCAATTAGATATTATATCTATATTGAAGCAAGCTTAATATTTTTCAATGATAAGGTTATTGTCCCAGAAAGTCTCAGATTATATATCATCAAACTTCTGCATGAAGGTCATATAGGTATTAGTAAAACTATCAATAAAGCATAAAGCTAGATTTTTGTTTTTTTTTTATCCAGAATCAAATATTGACATTAGTTCTTTCATAAAAAAATGTAGTCTGTGAAAAATTCATGCCAAGTTATTATAGATAACCTTCATTATCACATTTTGTAGCAACACTCAGATTTAACAAAATTGGCACTGATACATTAGAATATGGTGCTAACAGCTTTTTAGTAATCATAGATTATTTTCCACATTCGCTCGAAATCATATTATTGAAAGACGAAACATCAAATTCAGTCATAGATGCATTTCAGGATATTTTCACAAAATTTGGATATCCACAATTCGGGAATGGAGATACTCTACCTGTTATTTCGAATAAATGCAAATCCTATTATAGAGACAAATATACAGGGTATTCCATTTAAAACGAAACAGGCTAAATATCTGATGCAACGTTTAGTTTTCAAAACATCGCTCGTACACGTAATTAGATTTTAAAAGGGGGAAGTTTTCTGCAACCATTTTTAGCACTTCAACTTTAACCCTCTAGGCGGGGTGGGACCAACCCCTACTATTTTAAATGGAACAAGGGGTCGAGTGATACCTCTTTTCAAAGAGCATTCAATTCTCTTTCATTTGATGTCATTTGGAAGAAAATTGAACGGTCTTTTGAAACAGGTATCACTCGACCCGCTGTTCCATTTGGAATGGTAAGGGTGGGCCTAGCCCCCCTAGAGGGTTAGGTTAGTGCTGAAAATGTTTTAAACCCTCACACAATCAAATTACGTATATGAGCGATTTTTAAAAAAAATAAAAGTGGCATCAGATATTCAGCCTGTTTGGTTTTACATGGAATACCCTATATAGCGATTTTAACATGTAGGTACTCCTCACTATCACCAAAGCAATGGGCTTGCAGAGAAATCAGTAAGTATTGCTAAGCAGATAGACATCTTTCAATTTCAATACTTCCATTGTTAGTCTTAATGCCTCTCCTGCTTAAATTCTTCAAAATAGGAATCTAAGATCCCAACTAACATTAAACAATAATCAACTGGAGCCAAAAATTCAAACACAAATTTATACGAAGTTAAATGATCAGAAAAAACGCTTAAAATTATACTATATGATAAAACTGTTCGTAAATCTCCAACGGAATTTAAAAAAGGGGATGAAGTTGTAATTAAATCTTCCAAAGATCAAAGGCATGAGGGTATAATTTTAGAGAAAGCTAATGAATCGGAATCATATTGGGCGAGGAAAGAAAATAACAATAAAATAGTAACAGTAGTCAGATGAAATTTACAATTCTGAATTGTATCCTTTCGAGCAAACTCAACCATCACAACAGAATTTTAATTTGAATAATGATATTAACTTTATTCCTAATATACCAAATGTATAAATATCGTACCTAAACCCCATGTTCAGTCACATATACTAGTTCCATCTGTTAATATCAATATTATTAATCATAAGCGTGTATCTAGTTTTGGAAGACCTGTTAACGTCCCTCCTAGACTATATCTTTAAGGGGAAGGTGTTCAATATTATTTTTCTCCGAATGACAGTAGAAGCGGCCTTTTAATGACACTTAACAGGATCAAAAGTTGTATTTTTACTGCCTAGGCAGTAAAAGTGGACTTTTACTGCCTATAGGCATTAAAAGTGACAGTGTCAAAACGTTCCAGGTAATAATTTCACTCAGTTTGGTATTTGAAATTGATGGTGACAATGACAATTGTCAAAATAATTTAATTATTTGGATAATAATAATGAATGAAATAAATATAAAAAAGATGGCCATGTGTGAATTTGAACATTCGGAGAAAAAATTATATGTTTTACATAGCAGAAAAGCAGATTTGCTGCCTCGGCTGGTTTCCTAGCCTTGGCTATGAAACACCAGCCGCGGTATTAAATCTTATACTTTTCTGCCTAGTAAAACAAATAACTATTATTCTTAAGGTTTGATAATCAACAAACCACTACCGTTTAGTATGGTTTCTCAGTGTGTCAAGAATCCTAGGCTGTCGAATACCCTAGAAATTACAGATTCCTATAATCTAGTAAATTCTACTTAATCGGGAAAAGGAGAGTTATCGCGTGTATTCTAGATTGTACATGAATGGATTTACGGGTCAGTTAAGTCAGCCCCCCCCCCCATAGAAAATTTCTGGATGAAAATTATCCCATAATTTTGCTCTCATTTTGCTCCATTTTGCTCCACTAATTTCGATTTTTGCTCCATTACCGTGGAGAGACTATGTAGCCTATTAGGTGGGGGGGGGGCTGAATTAACGCTTTTGTTCTCCGAGTTTTGCTCCATTTTGCTCCACTATCGGCGAGTTTTGCTCCATTACCAGGAATGACCTACAGAGCTCCCAAGAATCTCTCCAAGCCCTCCCACACCAGTGAAAATTTTTTTGGATCATATTCATTCTGTTCTCCGAGTTTCGCTCGGTTTTGCTCCATGATCGGCGAGTTCTGCTCCATTA